TTCTGTGTTCCTCTTTCGCATCTCATCTGCTTGCCTACCTTTATTTTTTTATAGGTAAATCTGCTTTTAATGCCATCGATCCGCTTGTTGTTTGTATTTTGTATTTTGTGTATTTTGTGTGTGCGTCTTTTTAATAGGATTTTTTATAGACTTCTTCGTTTTGGGTGCAGCATCTTTTTATTTATTATACTTTTGAGGGGTTCCCTATTGCTTCCTTCTGCTCTCAGCTCACTTCAGTCGCGTGCTTTGCTCTGCGTTCTTCTTTTTTTTGCTTTTTTATTTTGTTTTGATATTTTTAGCAATTTTATTATCTTGTCTTTTTCTCACTGTCACTTTCCCTTTTTTTATGATATATGAAATATTGATGGATATTTTATGGCGAGGGCAAATCTTCGTTTAAGCGAGATCACTTTGACTTCGACTAATTGTTGAGCTAACTTCAATTGAGCAGTTAAAAAATAAAATACAGGTAATATAAATTATTATGGGATGAGCGTAAATCAATTTTTACATTTGCCTTTCTTCAGTTTGTATTTGAAAGAAAATACAAACGTTTTTTTGAAATGTTTGCCAGTGAAAATTGTTCAACAACAAACCTCCAATAGATTTATCGAAAATTGCGCAACAACAGAAAAACTTTTCGAGAGGGAAATGAAAATAAGCAACCCCTTATTCATTGAGTGACAGTTAAAATTTACTTTGCATAGAATTTTTGGCATTTGCTGCCCAAATGACCGTTAGAAATCTGGCGAGATGTCATAAAAGAAATAGACGTAATACGGCTTTTGTTCAGCAAAGACATTGACAAAGTTGTTGCAGGACATTCCAACATTCACAACTAAGTGCTGAGGAGTTGGGGTTTAGAGGGATAGAGAGGGGTACAGCTGATATTCCTTAGAGCAATTGTTATAAGAAATGCGCCGCATCATGCAAACGGCAAATGAGACACGCAACATTGTAGGGGTATTCCTTCTTAGGGTCTGGGCTAGGTTTTGGTTTTGGGTTGGTTTGATTTGACAGACATGTTTTGAATACGAAAATCAGACTGTGGGAATAACTCATAAGTTTGAGTGTGAATTGAGTTTCAGAAGGTTTTAATAAGATTTCTGTGAGTTGAGCAATCATTCCTTATAGCTTCTACTATAATATATATATAAAATCTACCATCAATAATACTACAAATAAAGAAAACATTTAACATTGTTCATTTATATATATTATGCAAAACGAAAAAACATAAAATGCAATCGACACGGATGAAATCATCAATGATGGCATAAAAGTGCAATTAATGTGCCATGACCCGATGATGTTGATGACGACGACTGCCGACTGACAATTGACAATTGCCAATGGCTGCCGCGAGGATTAGTTGGGCAAGAGAATCCCCCTCGACTTGGATATGCATGACTAAAGCTATATGTATAAAATATATAAAATATATATGTAGAGAGAAGAGCAACCCTTACACGCTTAGAGATATATAGATATATGGGTATATATGCATAATATGCCACCCCTTTATGTGAGGCCATACACCCACCCCTCGTACGCTTATGCAGCCCTCGTTCTTTTTGGGGTTAAGCCAAAATGGCGCGTGTTTGCCACAAACGAGCGGGAAAGAGAGCACCACAAAAAATGGTTGCTACAGCGCGTGGCAAGGCATCTTGCAGCTCGTCGCGTGGCAGGCAGCCAGGCTGGCAGCATCCTTAACCTTTTTGCATGCAACACAGATAAAAAATTTAAAATTAAAAAAAAAGAAATGCAGCACACAAATTTTGAACAGCCAAAATAAAAATGCGGAAAAAAACAATGTGAAAAGTGCCCAAAAAGCAGGCAAAAATTGCATATGTGCTGTGTGTGTGTTGTGTTGTGTGTGTGTTGCATCCCTTGTCAACAATGGCACGAAAATCCCGTTGCTGACCTCACGATGACCCCAAGCCCCTGCTCCTGTCCCTGTTCCTGTCCCTGTTTCTGTTGCTATTTCTATTTTCTGTTTTAGATGCTGCTGATGATTTTCTAGCTCTCCCCTTGGACTTTATTCAGGCCGCAAACAAAAGCCGGAGTTTTTGGGACTGATTGCGTTGCATGCAACGTGTAACAGCAGCAGCATATCCTTGCATATATCCTTTTTGTGTGCCTGCGCCTGGCGCTTTGACCAAACAATGCTTTTGCATTTGGTTTTGTGCACAATTTTTGTGCGCCATTTGCATGTTTTTCCACTTCCACACCAAACACATTTCCCATTTCCCGCATTTTCCGCATTTCCATGGCACGAAAATGTGCAAAATGCTAAATGCAAAATGCAAAATACATATGCATAAAGGGGGCACACCCCGATCCTCAACCCTCCCCTCTCTGGCTGTCTGTTATTTATGGCAACAACAGGGAAACGAGAGGTTGCCTTAAATGGCGTTATGCAAAAAAAAATATATAGAAAAAGAGAACAATTCAAAAAGGACACAATGCGCTGGTCATCAGTTGCCAACTTATGAAATTGCATATGAAGAATTCCCCTGCATATATTAAAACAAAATAAGAAATATAAAAAACCAAAAGTAAAAATGCTGTAGTCGAGAGAGCTCGACTAGCAAATAATCCAAAGCCAAGTACTATTATAGTTGTATCTTTATATTTATCCATCTATCTTTAAACATATTTACAATTAATTCATATAATTAATTATTAATACTTCCCTGCTTATCAACCGATCTTGATGAAATCCTAATAGATAATCAATTATTATTAGTATTACTATTATAACTATTAGTATTATTATTATTATTATTATTGAATACAGCAAAATTTCAGTTATAAAATATGAATCAAAAGCTAAATTTACTCTGATTTTTAATATGATTTTAAAGTTTATTATTGATTTAACTTAACAAAATATTCCCACACAATTTAAGTGACGCTGCCATTTCTTGGAAACTGAAGAAAAATCCAAGTCAAATTTAATTTAAAAGAAATCTTTTAGATGAACACATTTCGCAAATCCAATAAATGAAAAACATCTTCAACGATTTTTTCAGATTATAAAAAAGATCAAAAGCCAGATAAGATTTTAGTTCCAAGAAAACTAAATTGCATTTCTCACAATTCTGCGCCACTTAAAAACTTGACCCCAAGGACCTGGACCTGGACAACATATGCAAAAATGATCGCAGCAACATCAAAATATTATGCAAAAAAAGAAAAGAAAAGAACACAAAAAAACTTGACCTTGAGATCGACCCAGGAGACATTTAAAAAACCATTTGCTTAGCCATCAAAAAAAGTCTCATTTAAAGTGGTGCGGAAAAAACTAGGTGATGCCCGGGGAGCGACAGAGGGAGATGGTAAGAAGGGACATTCACACGCCGCAGGACTTCGAACTGTAAATCGCATATATACAAAGCAATGAGGCAAGCCTTGTTGCATTGTCGCCGTTGCAACAGCTCTTGGCTGTTGCCTCTCAGCCTTGCTGACAAGCGAACAATGAGCCAAAAAAATATATATATTTTTGCATAAAGCCGCCGCTTTTATATTATGCAAAAAAAGAAAAAACAGCAGCAGTCTCTAGAAATTATCACTGCTACCTAGGAGAAATAGATCTCTCTCTCTCTCTCTCACACACACACACACTCTTTCTCTGTGTCGCTCCCGCTCTCGATCACTCATGACGTTGCATTTTGCACGCCTGCTCCGTTTAATTAGAACAAACAAAACCAGTCCCAAGACGCACTCTGAAAGATGGTCTTTTTCCCATCCCTTCCATTATTTTTATTTCTGTTTCAATTTTTTTTTTTGCAAGTAACCTCGCTGCTGAAGGTCCTGTTTACTTAAGCCCAGAGGGAATGCCTCTGTCCCTCCTGTCCATCTGTGTGGGTGGCTTAAAAAAACACTCAGCGCATCGAGCTGTAATTATTGACCGTTAATTTGTCTGGCTTTAATCCTTTTTTGGGTAAAGTCATTCGTGCGTTCCCAAAAAAAAACGACCAGCTCATGGTTCGTAATTGTGCGACTGGTTTTAAAATAAAAATGGGTTCGACTTAAGGATTCAATTTCGACAAGTAATGCACTTGATTTCCACCTAGGTGATCTTCGCTTGAGGATTAGGCACTAATTCTAAATGCTCAAGTGAGTTATCGCTCTAGGGTAGTTATATACAACAAGGATTATCTTATGAAATCAATTAAATAATAGAAATATTCGAAAATCTTAATGTTTTCTTCTAAATAAAAAGTGTAATATCTTGCCAATCTAAAATCACCATAAGTTTACTTAACATAAGCTCCTCCATTAATTCCAACAGACACACCTTTCTCCTCCTTAAGGTTTACTGGAAAATACCCTACTCTAAAAATTACCTACGTTTGGAAATCATATTTGTTCTGCATTCCAGTCTTCCCTAATTTTCAACACTGAATAAAAATAAACAAAACAAATATGTAATTATTAAATGTTTATGTTATGATAAAATAAAATAAACATTAACATAATAATATAATTTTCTAATTGCTTGCCAATTGAAAATGATCTTTTGGTCCAATAATATAATATTATAATATTGAAATTTCCTGCCAATTGAAAATTACCTTCTTGCCCACTTGAAAAGTGCGACGAAAAATGCCCAGCAAATTGATCGACTAAGGAAATTTATGTTTACAAAACTCTTGCTGTTCGCACGTTTCGCACGCGAAAAAGAGAGATAGCCATACAGAAAATTATTTGCGCGCACTCCTCTTAGCGTCGCTGTTTGCGTTTTTTAAGTCGCTGCGCACACACACACTCATCTGCATATGCAAAATTCCCAGAACACACACACACAGACAAACTAATTGCATATGTGTGATGCTTGCTGAAAAAAAGAGGTCGCTGCACTGAAAATGAACTACGCGTTCATCGCCATCATTGCCAGCTCAAAAAGTGTGGAGAAAAAACGCGTTGTCTACTTTAATGCTTATTGCGTGTGTTATTATTTAGTTGATTTATAAGCAAATTAAAAGTGATTGCAAATGAGTTCGCAGGAATCGGATTTGAGTTTGGCTTTTAGCGCAGTCAACTTAAATGTGCGTTCCTCAACGACAGCATCGCAGCATGCAGTTGAGCAACCAGATGGAAATGTGGAATCAGCTGGAAGTGGGGAAGAAACTTTGACAGCGCCCGCGCCAGCTTCCCGGGTGCGTCGCAAGCAGGCAATGCCTTTAATTCGGGCTGAAAGATTACAGGGGGAGATCCGTCGACTGCAGGCCACTTCACAGTTTATGATACCACGCACGGCATTCGGTCGTGTCGTGCGTGAAATTCTGCAAAAGCACACGCGGTATCAGAATTCATTTCGCATCACGATGTCGGCACTGCTAGCGCTGCAGACGGCGTCAGAGTTATATATGACGCAGCGCTTCGAGGATTCCTATCTGATGACGTTGCATCGCAATCGGGTCACATTGGAAGTGAGAGATATGGCTCTGATGGCATTCATCTGCAAGCTGCATGGACTACTCTAACGGCTTCCCAGTTAAATATTTTTGTATGCGTATGTGTGGGCTCACTTATCGATTATTTATCAATCTTTTTAATCGATGTTTTTTATTTTGCTTTCAGCTGCTAGAGATCATATGAGCAGGCAGCTCTGCGTAGCGGAAGAGTGCGTGAGAGAGTCGATATTTTAATTTATGTATATTTCCAAGCAAATTCTGCTCTCACTTTGTAAGATGTCTTAATCGAACTTTGTTATGATTTATGCTTATGCACAGATGCTACAGTTTATATGAGACAGGCAGTTCTTTTACTATTAAGTATTCATAAATCAATATTTAATTCGCTTCAATAGCAGTTTTGATATTTTGATATTTTTTGCATTTTAGTTTCTTGCAAAACTAAAATTCCCTTAATTTCGCTCACTGCGCCGCCAAATTTCCCAGCTAAATGATCAGCCAAAAGGGAATTTACACCCACACAAGCAAAGCTTGCGCTACGTTTCGAAGGAGTGCGAGAGAGAAATTGAAAGAGAGAGCAGATATGTTGATATCCATCTATTTCCGGCAAATACTTTGCTCACTTTGGCCTTCTAATCTTAAGCACAGTTGATTAAAGAGAACAAATTCCCAATCCAAAACCCAATCATTCATTTGCATCAGAGTGAGGCAGAAGGATAGCGAGAGGGGGAGGGAGGAGGCAAGGAAAGTCGACAAAAAGTTTTGGCCCCAAGTGATTACTCAATTTAAATGGCAAACAGCTCTTCCTCCCCAACGCAGACTATATGCTAAAACAAAAAAAAACCCCGAACACAAATCGAATTCAGAGCAATAAGCTGGATGCTAATGCATCCAAATCCAAATTGTGCTCCCAAATGGCTGCGGTCGAGTGTCTTCCTCTTCCTCCTGCTCTTCCACATGTGGGTTGGTTTGGATTGGAAGGCGGCGGGTGTGTGCATATGTGTTTGTGCTAATATTTTTATTTACACCCTTAAAATGTGTGTGTGTGTGTTGGCCTGCTAATCTAATGCACACAATCGAAATTTGCCTAAAAAAACTGGCCACACCTCGACAGCAGTGGGTGGGAGGCGAAGGAGGAGGAGGAGATGTTGGGAGGGGGTGGCAAATTCTTTGGTCAGCGTGTCGCAGATAAAAGCATTATGGACCTAACTTTCCACAGAAACAGAAACATACACGCACACACATGCATACATACATATATATATATAAGTCTATTACATAGATCATTTATTACACGACCAGCAGCAGGACGAAGGACTCTTCTCGGCTGTTGACAACGCAACGTGTGTTTCTAATGTGATTTTTTATTTGGCCACACGCATCCCGTAATGTCTTCGGTTTTTTTCTTTCTTTTTTGACTCCCCCGCTATTTTTTAGCGCTCTCTTATCGCAACAGTTTTATCTGGTGTTGGCCCACTGTGCCAACGATTGCTCAATTTTCCAAGGCACTTGGTCCTCAAGTCCATGTCCTGCAGGATGTGCAGCTGAAGCAAAAGTTTGTTGTCCGCAACGATTTAGAGATATGCGAAGGGAGCAGAGCCCAAAGTTTAGCTTAAAAAGCAACCCTTAAGAAAATAGTAGAGTTGAGGGGGGTTTTTCTTAGGTTGGATTTGTGAGGTAAAAAAAAATTACTTTAATTTTACATTCTAAGAATTAAAAAGAAAAAAGTTAACTAAAAATGTAAAACAAATTTTGAAAAATGTTGTATTCTTTAAAATCTTTATTTTGTAACATAAGATCTAAGCTTAAGCCTAATTTAAACACATTTTCATAAAATTTAAACTTAGGAGAACTGAACGAAAAGTATCTTTATAAATCTTAAGCTCATGGAAGACTATAACTGATTTAAGTTAAGTAAATATTAAGAAAAGGTTTAAGAATAACTTGTAAAACGACATAAAATATTTAATTATTGAATATTATATTGTTTAATGCTATTATTAAATATTATTTTACTCAACTCAACTTCAAATTTGAAATTTTGATATCCTTGGAATATAATATATTAAAAGCTGATCAAGTTTATTTAATTTTATAGATAACAGCAATCGTTTCCGATTTCCCATGGCATTAAAACACAATTGTAAAGATATAACCTACCGATTGACATATTATATGTACACTGTAAAAATTTCTTTAACATCTGATAAGAAACACTAACATTGTTAACCAAAACACAATTTCAAATTAAACAAACTAATATCAAGATTGCTGTTTATGTTTCATTTGGGTATCTGTTAGTCAAGCTCTCTCAAATAGAGCTTTCCAAATCCCAGATCTACCTCCCACAAATATTTATACACTCAACTGAACCTGAACTTTTAAAATTTGAATATCTTCCAGCTATTTCTCGTTATCATTTCTCAGCCATTTTTCTAATCAGTTTTCCCCCGAGCCTGCTGCCACTGCCTCCAATAACTTTGGTTTTAGTTGCCACAAACACAACTGTACGATTGCAGACCCCCCCCCCCCATTCCCCCTCCGTCTCCACACCCACTCAAGTCGAATTCTAATCAAACTGTCAACTGGCAGCCAAAAGTCCTAACCCAAAGGCCCCGCCTCTCGTTAGTCAAAGCAAAGAAAAAAAAACCGAAACATGTGAGTGTGGCAAGTATCTCAATTTGATGCTTTTTCTTTCGGTTGCTCTTTATTTATTTTTTTTCTTTTTTTTTGGTGGCAACTTAATTTACTACTGGGAGCATATGCTAAAAAACCGAATGGCCATGACTCCAGTTTCTGTTTTTGTGCTGCTGCTTTTTTGCGCTTATCAAAAGTCAAGTAAATATCTGCAGCTAAGAGATACAGATACAGATTGGCCCCAAACAGACACACACTCGCACACACACACACTCGTTGATGATGCCGATGATGCTCCCGTGAGATAGTTTGATTAATGGCCAAAAAGTGCCCAAACATTTTCCGTTTTCTCTGTTTGCTATTTGGGTATTTGGTATTTGGGCATTTTCTAATGCGAACAGTTACAAAAAAGCGTTAATACACATGTGACTCGATCTGTTTTCCTTTTTTCCTGCTTTTTTTTTTTTTTGGTCTTTGAGTGTGTTTTACTTGTGGACACTATTAGGCGCACACACCCCCCATTCCCAAATAGTATTCACAAAAAACGTTGGCCTAGTGTTTAGAGACCCTTGCGGAGGGTGTTATGATTTTATCGTGCAGTTTGTAACTATTTATAGTTGAAGAAGATATCTTCTTTCCCCTAAGTATATATATTGTTGATCAGCTTCACTAGCAGAGTCGAAAGAGCCATGCTATCATAGGAAAGATGGGTTGTAGTAGAAACAACTTATTGGCTTATCAAAATATGTGAACGAAACTTATATATGCGTACAATTATGCATTCTACAATTGGGATGAGGGTAAGGGTATCTAAGCTTCGTCTTCTTCCCAAGAAAGCCCTTCTTTCTACTTCTTCTTCTTCTACCACTAGTTATTTTTTAGATTTTTTTTGTGGGCATAAAAAAAGTTGACTGTTTATAACGCGAAATCATCAAGTTAACGTTAACGCTTGATTTATGGCATGTTACGCTCACAAATGTATTGGTTCCGTTCACATACAGGGGCGTACTGGAGAGTGGGTAGGGGGAGTGGGTGGAGAGGGGGGAGGGTTTAACATACACAGTTTGCGTTTGTCACGCGACGGCATTTAACGGGTCTTTTGCAGTCATCGTCTCAGTCTTTCAGTTTTTGTAGTCGGTGTCGTTTTATTAATCAAAATTTCACCATTTTGCCTGTCGCCAGGTGGCGTGTTTGTAGCGGCATTTTATTTAAATTGCTTACAAACGCCATGTTCTTTGATTGCCACACGAGCTGTCTGTCCGTCCATCTATTCGTCTGGCTGTCCCTCTGTCTGTTTTACGACTTGGCAGCCATTTGACAAGCGGAAAGGGTTCGCTATTGACTTATGACTCTTCGATTTGTGCAACCTTAATGGGCATACAAAACCAGCAAAGGCAGAACACCCACCACCCCCCCCCAAAATTGTGGCACGACATGCAAATGGCTAAAGTTTTCAAGGTGTTTGAGTAGGCATGGAAATTGCTGGGTAAAACATTTAGACGATTTTAGAAAACTTGTTAAGAGAGAGAGGAAAAAGCACGGTTTCTATTTACAGGCATTGCAACTTGTCCAGAAGAAGGTGAGGTAAAAATATAAACGAAATTATGAAATATTTTCTAAATAAAAGAAAAAATAAATAATGCTCTAGTCGAGGGAGTTTGAGTGGAATATAACCAGAACCCACCTATAGTTTCTTCAATATGAAAATAGGATTTGATTAACGATCTTAATTAAATTTGTTCAGTTGATCAATATCTGTATATTAAAAATCAAGAGAGCTATCGCAAATCGATTTGTATCGATACTTCGCCTTTTGCCTGTTACACACTTTAGTAAATAATATATATCATTATTCTGATTATAAATAATATAATTTCTAGCTTCAATTTCTTGCTATAAATTTAGTCAAGCAACAGACAATTTTTTTTATCAAGTTTACAGAAACTACCATTAAATTTTGGGTATAGAATTACTGGATGCCATAACGTTCTGTCTGCTAGAATTAACTCCAAGGGACATCGTTTTCAATTACTGCCCGGTGAACATTGAGTTAACCCTTAGCTGTAGTTTGATCTCATCACTCATCGCTAAGGTCATTAAATACACCCGCACTTAACCCTTTAATTGCCATGGCTGAGGAAATGTGAAACCCTGTGGAAAATAGCCATCAAACCCTACTCATATTCATATGTACACACAAATACACACACAGACAATAGACTGACAACAGATCACATGATATGAGAAATAATGGGTTAAGATATACCCAGCTTACTCAGTTCGCTGTTCATTTTAACCCCTGAGCAACGGTCAAATTGTGCATTTCCGTTGGCCACTACAAATAAGCAAGCAAAACAACAAACAAACAAATAATATTCCTATTAAATTCAAATTACAGGCACGAACAGTTGGCGCCTCCCACACACCCAGATACAATATCCTACCCTACCCTACC